TTTTCTTGATCTGGTATTTTGTAAACCTTTTCTTTAACACAACCCAAGTACTGGCACTAGATCAGTTTGGCAGTGCTTAAGACAGTCGTCTCGTACATACGTGTGTGTGCGTGTACATGTGTACCTGCATACATATATGCATATACACGGAGTGGGTAACATGTATTATTGCACATTAAAATATCCATGGTTCTAATGATTTTTTTTTACTATAGGGTGTATCTGCTCAGACAAACAGAAACTTCCTTGTTAGGCTCTGATTTTCCTAACTCAACGGACACCATCATTTAACCAGTTAATTTGCACTTAGCATATCTAAAGCAATCAGGATATTAAATACTCTTTGCCACCGTATCTTGGTCCATGGTCTGTTGGATTGGAGCTTCTGGATTTGCTTCTCCGGGGCTTTTCCGTAACCTCCATCCGTTTCGTTTCTGTTTGGCATTAGGCTGCAGTTCAGACTCGAGGCGATCGGAGACGCTTGGCGCGTTGACTGTTAGCACAAACCACTGATTTAAGGCCTGTCCCCCCCCCCAGAAAACCCACCAGTGGCCACCTTCGGCTAAAGGACCCGAAATGCTGGTTTAAACTAAAAATAAACCAAAACAGCTTGGGGTTTGGGTTTTGTTTGTTTTTTTTAAGTAATTCCCTCCAGGAGAACCGGGCGGCTGTATGGGTGCAGCGGCGCTGGCCAGAGCCGGGGGCTGGCGGGTTCCTCCAGGCATCTCCCCACGGGAGCGGAGCTCCGGCCCGGGCCCTGCCCCGCTCCTGGGGTTTGCTCGATGCTGCAGCCGCTCGTTTCAGGAGAAGACCGTGGAGACGGCCACCTCGGCAGTCCCTGTGTCCCAGCCAAGGTAGAGCTGCGGTCTGGGCCTTGGGGACGTGAGGTGAAACCTTCCCGGGGCCCGGAGAACGGGAAATCCTTTGAATCCAGCGGTCCAAGCTGGGGGAAGGCGCTGCAGCCGTGGGCGGAGTGGGGACGGGGCATTAGTGTATCCGAGAGCTGGATTTGGCAGCGCTCGGTACCCGAACGAGAGCCCAGATCTTCGGCATAGCTCTGCACCTGCTGAAAATCCAGGCGTTCTGTTTCGGTGTCCCGAGAGCCGAGTTCCCCTGAAAATCTGCCGCTGACCCGCTGAGCGGTCGGGAGGTCCAGCTGCTGCGCTTCCCCCAGGAGCGGCCGGGCGGCCTGGCTGGAGGGGCGAGCGTTGGGGGCCGAGTCTCTGCCTTTTAAAAGCGCCCCTAAAAGCGTTAGCCCTGG